TGAGGAGGTGATAGTTAAGCTGATCTGAAGACAGGGAGGGAGCAATGTGATGATCTGGTCGAAGAGTGTGCCAACCAGAGGAAGGAACCAGTGCAAAGGCAAGGACAGTTGGGTGTGTTCTAGAAATATAAAGGACAACGGCTGGAGATTACCGTGTGAGGAGGCATAGTCCAAAATAAGCAGATCTTGGAGGCTAGAGTAGGCATTTAAATCTCATATGTATGTGGTGGGAAGCCTTGGAGGCCTCTGAGCTAAGGAGTGACCTAATATAATCAACATTTTAAAAACACCCAGATGCCTTTGGAAATATAATGTAGGGGTCAAGAGAGAAAACAGAGGAAGCAAGTAAGTGGCTTTTGCATGTTCCCTTTGATTCAGCAAAGGTAATTTATCTTCTGGTAATTTATCATATGGATATAATTGCATATACAAAAATACTACATAAAAGGTTACTGCAGTATCGTTTGTGATAGCAAACCCAGCTGTCAAAGGATAGGTTACTGGAATACATTCTGTTACAGCCATATAATGGGATACTAAGCAACTACGTAAAGAGTAAGGAAGCTTTCTCCAAGTATTCATATGGAAATATCTCTACAGATATGGTAGAGTGAGAGGAGAACAGGATGTATCATGTGCTAACATGTAAAAAGCTAAATAGGGTGGGAATGGGCCAATGAAGAATGAAGGTATACATATTTTGATACAGTTTGAGTTTGAACATGTGTCCCATCTATTCAAACAACATTAAAATAGAATATGGGGATTTCAGCCATCCAGGGGAGGGATAATGGAGATGCTAAAACAGTGGCATTATAGCTGGGGAGAAGTTGATAGAACTGGGATATGTTTGGTAGACTCTGTGTATGGAATTTGCCTGGGGGTTTGGTTGTGAGCTGTGAGGGAAAACCACAGGTGATCCCTAAGATTTTGTTTTGAGAGATGGATGGTCGTGGTAATTCCTGAATTGAGGAGGACTGGAGTAGAAGGTAGCTTTGGAAGGAAAATCAGAAGTTCTGATTTTTGAAGTTAGGTTTGAGATGATAGAGACATCCAGGTAGAAACTGGGGAGGCAATTGAATGTAGGAGTCTAGAGGCCAAGGTAGACATTGGATCTGGAGATATAAACTTAGGAGGCATCAATATATAGGTGGTTTTTAAAGCCATAGAGTTAGATGAGATTACTTCCTGGCTGAGGAGTGTACTTGGAGAGTGCACTTGCCAGGGCTGAGCCCCGTGACACTTACTATTTCATGTCAAGAGGAAGATGAAGATCCAGGAAAGGAGACTGAAAATCTGGGCTCTGGAGTTAGGAGGAAAACTGGGATTTTTGTAGTGACACAGCAGTCAAGAGGAAACGTTAAGTATTCCAAAATGGTAGCAATTATCTATGTCACATGTTCCTGGGCAATAAAACAAGAGTTTAGAGAAGCGACCATAGGATTTATCAATATGATGGCCATTCCTGATTTAGGATAAGGCCATGATGTGGATGAGTGTTCTGGAAAAGATGTAAGATGGGAGGTGAAGAAGTGGGAATGGTGACTAAAACCACTGTTTTGTGGAGTGTCATTTGTTTGTTTTGAAAAGGAACAAAGGCATGAGGAAATGTCTGGAAAAATGTGATGGTCAGGGGCTTTGGCTTCTTTTTCTGTCCGATGAGAAATCCTGGGGCATACTGGTATGAGACTGGGAATGGTGCAGTAGAAAGAGGGAAGCTGGTGGTGCGGCAAAGGGGATGATAATTCAAGGACCCCAGACCTGGTGAATCTTTGAAAAGATGAGAGGAAACAGGATCTAGAGCCAAGTGGACAGGTTGGCCTGTGAAGTAACCCAGCTCTTTTCCATTGTCAATGTGGTTGCCACTGGAAGGTCAGGCTAATGGACTGTTATTGCCTTGATTCTCCTCATCTGAAAAATGGGGAACATATGGTACATACCTCATGAGATAAGATAAATAACAATGTCTGATAAGTGGCATACTTTCAGTAAATAGTAGTCTTTTTTGTTATTTTATCTGTGTGTTTTTCAAATATTCCATATTAAGCATCTGCTACAGTAATGTGGAAATGTATTTTAGTATTCTGTCTTATATTTCCTGGTCAGAATGAATAATAGAAATGCAAGAGTGACCCAGACACCCTCAGCACAGTGAGAGTTTTTCAGCACCAAGGACAGCAAACTAAATACTAATCAGCTCATAAGATTTCAGCATAGCATGGCTTAGAGGCCAGTCACTCTTACAAATACATAAAGGTGGGGGGAGGAGTAGGAAGGAAGCAAGCCTTAGATTGAGCCCTGCGGGAAATTCCACTTCCCACTTGCAAAGAACAAAGCTGGGCTTTTTCTTTGTGGTGTTTCTGCTGTTTGCACATAGTACTGGCATTGTATGAAGCTCTGCTCCCTATCTCCCGGGAACCCAGTGTGTTTGTGCCTGTTTAGAGAAAATCGAGGGAGAGCAGGGAAATCAGACTCGGTGTTTCAGAGGCGAGCTTATAGGACACCTGCAATGCGGGGAGAATGGCAGATTACATTGGGATGCGACGTGGGCCTGAGTTCTGAATATGTTGACTTTATCTTTTAATAATGCATTTCATTAGGAACAGGGGCTATTGATGTACTCGGCAAATAAAATGCATTCTTCACAGGCTGCCTCACTCTTCAGTAGTTCCTTAAGCAGAGGGAGAAGAAGCAATGCTTGATGACTGTATCTATCTCTTATTAAAAATTACCCACCAGTGACTCTAGGGAAGGGAAGGGAACCAAATCTCACCAGACTCCTGTTTTGAACCAGACTCTTCACATAGCTGAGATCATTTAATCCTCCCAAATACCATTAAGGTAGGCATCAGCCTTATTTGTACAAAGGAGACAGCTCTGAGAAGTTTCGTAACTTACTCAAAGTTACATAGCTCACGAGTAGCCAGTTGACATCAAGGCTTTCTTTCTGTGTTTGTTACCTGTTCCTCCGAACCAGGGTTTCTCAACCTCAATGCTACTGACATTTTGTGTTGGATAATTTGTGTGTGTGTGTGTGTGTGTGTGTGTGTGTGTGTGTGTGTGTTGGAAAGGAGGCTATCTGCTGTCCTGTGCATTGTAGGAGATTTAGCATCATCCCAGGTGCAGTAGCCTCCTCCCACCCCCTGCTTGTGATAACCAAAAATATCTCCAGAAATTGCCAGATGTCTCCTGGGAAGCCACAGTTCCCCAGACTGAGAATCCCTGGTCTACATGATGCTGCCTAAACATTGTCTCTACAGCTCATAGCCCTGCAGCAGCTTTCTAGATTGTGGGCATAGGTCATATTTGTGTGTGCTGTTCATTTTTTCATACACCCAGTTTTTCAACTGCCCATCGATACTTTCTGAGTGTCTACTCTAAGCCAGGCACTCTGCTAGGTACTGAGGTAAGAAGATGAATGGATCATGGTTCCCTTCCCTCGGGGCATGCATTCTGATGAGACAGACAGCAGCTCAGTGAGTGCAAAGCCAATTGCTCCTCAAGTCTTTGAGAAAGAAGGATCTACCAGGTATGCACGGTCCACAGGCTGACTTAAAAGATAACTTGTCTTCTGTCCTTTTGCTTTTGGATTATTCTGAGTTTCTAGTGAGTGAAACCTTAGTGACTCAGCTGACAGCATTTGTTTTTAAATATTTTATTTTGATATAATATACACAGAGCAAAGGACACATTTCATATGTGCAAAGTTCGGAGAATTCTTACATATATTCCTACTTGTGTACCCACCACCATTCAGGGTCAAGATACAGAATATTTCTATCATCCAAGAAGTTACTTTTATGCCTCTTAGTCAGTGGAAGCCCCCGCAACAATAAACACTATACAATTTCTATCACCATAGATTAGTTTTGCCTGTTCTTGAACTTCATGTAAGGAGAATCATTACAACATGTTTTCTTTGGTGTCTGTCTTATTTATCTCGTCATTACATTGCGAGATTTATCTATACTGTGGCATGTAGTGGTGTTTCATTCTTCTTTATTGCCATATAAAATTCCATGAAGTAAATATTGCCATGGGTTTTTTTTTAATCCATGTTCCTACTGATGAACATTTAGGTTGGTTTTCAGTTTTGCCTGCTATTAATAAAGCTGTCATAAACATTTTTAATCTGTGTCTTTTATTAGACATGAGCACTCCTTTCTCCTGGGCACACACCTAGGAGTGGAATTGCTGGGTCATAGGGTAGATAAATATTTAGCCTTAGGAGCTACTGCCTGGCTTTTTTCTGAAGGGTCTATACCAGTCTACACCCCACCTAACAGCTCTTGAGAGTTCTGGTTGCTCTCAGGTGTCTTAAGGCATTACAGGTTAGTGTGATACGTAACTAAGGCAGGTATTTTAACCCTCAGGTTGCAGGCAGCAGGGGGTGAGGTGGGGAAAAGGACACATCACTTTTGTCCCACAGGCTTAACCTCTGTCACAATCCCCACACCTGGCCACCTAAGGCTCCAGAAGAGAGACTCAGTGGGTCAGACCCACTAGTGGAGAGCTGCATGAAACTGTTTCTCCAACCCTGAGCTGCTGGTGAATAATAGCTGGCATTATGGAGTTGAGAGAAATCATAGTTAGAACATCCAGCAGCCTGATTTCTTTCCTGCCTGTGAGAGACACACATCAGGGGGTAGTTTTGTCATGCAACAGAGACACAAAGCTCTTCAAGGCACCATGGTGTTATACAGAGAGCTCTGGGGATCCTGTCTCAGCTCTGTTATGGGACCAAGGAGGACGAATCTAAATTCTCTGAGGTCATTTCCAAACTCACAATACTGCCTTGCCTAACCACCCCCTCCAGGGTTGCTGAGTGATCAAATGATAATATGTACATGAAGAAAAGTATGCCCCTGAAGACATGACGGTTTTTCCAAGGTGGCACTGTGGTCACCCTGCTGTTGGTCCCAGGGATCGGGAGCCAGGGAGAAGCTGCATACAATGGTGGAAAGCATGTGGGGCTAATAGTAGCATCCTCATTCACTCACCACCGCAGGTTCTGGATTACTCAACGTCACTTTTCTGGTTCTGGGTGTCCCTGTCTGAAATCATGTCTTGGACCAGGTCATGTCTGCTGGCATTCCACTGGAGCCGTTGGAAGAATGAGAACATAAAGGACGTCACATCAGTCCTCATTGTTTGCTCAGACCCCACCCGAGAGAACTACGTTGGCTAACTTTTACTGAGTTCCCGGAGCTGTCCTAAGCACTTTATATGCATCATACTGTGTACTCCTCGCACCCAACCTCATGAGGAAGGTGCCATTATTTTTCTCATTTTACTGATGAGGAAACTGAGGCACAGAAGTTAAATAAAACTTACATGAAGTCCCGTAGTTAGCTAAGTAGAGGCAGTACTTTAAGCCCAGCCAGACTGATTCCTGAGCCAAGTCACTAAGGCTCTGGTAGGAGACTTGAATAGGTGACCCCATCATACGGGAAGGAAGGGAGTTTGGTGAAACAACTGGGAACCAGGCATACCCCCTTGCCACTTACTAGCTGATGTGCCCTCAAGCCAATGCCTTCAGCCTACTGGGTCTCAGTTTCTTCAACATGAAAATGGGATAAGTATTTTCTATCTCACAGGATAATATGTAGGAATAACATGGTGCCCAAGACAACAGTCAATAACTGTTAGTTCCCCTTCCTCTAACACTATGTAAGTCAGGGTAGAAATGAAGCATGGCAATTGGAAATGATCTTACCTCCCGTCTCCTTGCCACAAGAGAATGTTCTTGGAATAAGGCCAGGCTAAGAGCTGAAGTGCAATGTAATCTGCCTGAGTAGGAAGAAAACATGAGTTAAACCGGACTTTTACCCTTTATTAAATTCCCCCCATCCTTCCCACCCTATCATAAAAGTAAAAACTGCTTATTTTAGGAAATTGGAAAACATAGAAAAAATGAAGAAAAGAAGGATCCATGGTGTTGGCACACAGATACAACCGCTGTTGAAATTTTGTTGTATTTCCTCCGAATATGTTTGCTTTTTAAAAAAATTGATAAAATCATACTGGATGTAAAGTTTTGTAGTTTGCCTCTCTGACTAAATAATATAACATGAGCATTTTCCTATGATAATGGCAGTGTCTCTGTAATCATCATTAAATTAAGCTGCATGCTGTTTCATTCTATCATGATTTACTTATTCCCATACTGTTTCTAAATTTTCCATTGTTATTAAAAAAATACCAAGATGACCACGGTTTCATATACAAAAATTGATCCACGTTTCTAGTCATTTCTGTAAGGCACCGGCATTTTTAAAGGCTCATGATAGAAATAAAATAAAATTTTTTAAAAAAGGCTCATGATATACATTGCCAAATGGCTTTCTAGAAATGTTTAACTGAGTTCATGGTTAATAGTCCAACCAAGAGAATGAGAGTTTTCACTTTACCCATGCTAACAATGAGAATTAAGAGATTTCGAATCCTTGTTAGTTTGATTGTTAAAAAAATCTTATCCCATTATTTTAAATTGTAAATAGCTGGACTGGGAGGCTCAGGCCAGCTCTTGATTTTGGCTCAGATTGTGATTTCAGAGTCCTGGGGTGGAGCCCTGCACTGGGCTCTGTGCTCAGTGGGGAGTCTACTTCAGGACTCTCTCTCCCTCTCCCTCTGTCCCTGCCCCCACTCACGCTCTTGCTCTCTAAAATAAATAAATAAATCTTAAAAAATAAAATAAATTTATAATTCTTTGATTTAAAATGTTCTTGAATATTCATATCATTTCATTTTTGATATTTTGGGTTTCTTTTAACCATGCTTTGAATTTTTTATATCTGCTTTTTCAAATTTTCACTTTTATTGTGACATAAATCAAAATGATGTGTATGTATGGTCTAAATCATCGTCATGGTAATCCAGGAAAACGCTAATTTCTCCACCATCCAGCTTATGAAACAGAACATTTCCATACCTTAGAAATCTCCTAGGTATTCCTCCTACAAATGTTTCCCTCCTTCTTTTTGAAGTAACCACAATTCTAACATTAGTGGTACTTATTTCTTTGATTTTCCTTATAGTTTTACTATCCATCATGCATCTCTAAAAACAAAGTTTGTTTTGTATGGTTTTGCCCTTTATTTAAATGGAATAATAATGTAGATATCCTTCTATGGCTTATTTCACCCCAAACCGATATTCGTCCATGTTAATGTATATACTAAAATTCATTCCTTCCGATACTGAATAGTATTACATTGTACACATGTTGGCTCCATATTTCTCTAAAGGAACCTGAGTCTCTGGTATGTACAGCTTCACCTTTACTTTGTAATATGTTATGTCTTAAGTCCATTTTAACATACGTTGTAAGTACACCATCCAGATTATTTGGTTCCTAATCTTACATAGCATCTCTTTGACAATTAGAAATTATTTTTATTCCTGTATATGAATTTTTTCTTTTGTGACTCTTTCATTGTTTCAATATTTAGAAAGTTCTCTGTCACCCTTAAATGGGATTTTTTTTTTCACTATGTTCTTCTGCTTTGTTGTTCTTTTCCTTTTCTCTCTTTTGAGTATTTCGGTATGCATTTAACCATTTATACCATTTGGAATTTATTTTGCTTTACAGCAAGAAATGAACATGTTTGTTTTTGTTAAGTTGCTAACCAGTTGCCTTTTTTTTTTTTTAAGATTTTGTTTATTTATTGGTCGTGGAGAGAGAAAGAGCACGAGCAGGGGGAGTGGCAGGCAGAGGGAGAAGCAGGCTCCCCACTGAGCAAGGAGCCTGATATGGGACTCAATCCCAGGACCCTGAGATCAGGACCTGAGCTGAAGGCAGACACTTAACTGACTGAGCCACCCAGGCATCCCTAATCAATTGCTTTTTAAAACATTATCAAATAACTCCTCTGTGCCAGGTATTGTCTGTTGACTCTCAGCCCACCCCTGTCCTGTCTATGCTCTGTTCTACACTGCCACAGCCAGGAGTGGGAAAACTATGTTTCCCAGAGTTCTTTGCCAGCTGGTGTTAGTTTCTGCCATTGGGAGGCAGTCACATGGATTAACAAGTAAGAAAAATGTAAAAGCTATTTTTCTGCTCGTGGCAACAGTAACAGCAGAAATGCAGACTCGTAGGCTCTTGATAACACTATCTTTTATGTTTTAATTCTCTAGCCCTAGAAGAGGTAGTAGTGTTCACCTCTGGGCAACACAAGACGTACCACTCTTTGTTCTTCTGGATTTTCCATATATTTGTAATCAATTTCCTGTAGTAATTTCCTTTCTGTTGGATATACCTGGATTGCTTTCAGTTTTCTTTTGTGTACACTGATAAATCTTCCTCTTCCTACTGATTTGCAATGCCAGGTTCATTGTGTGTATGCATGCGTGTGCATGTGCGCGTGCGTGCGTGCATGCGTGTGTGTGTGTGGTATGCAGAAGGAAGGAGGGGGAGAGAGGAAACAAGAGAGACTGTGTATTTGTTTTGGAGCTATCTATTTTGATTCCTTGATCTTGCCAATTAGTGCATATGCATATTTATCATTATATTATTACAGCTTTAGCATACACTTCAGTATCTGACTGTGCAAATCTTCCCTCATTCTTTTTCTCATATGGTCTTCACTATTCTCATCTACTTATCAAACTGGGCTTTTAAGAAAAAAAATTTTAAAGGACAGTCGATTGTGTTCTGCTTACTCTAATCTTTCCCCCTGCATCTTGGTGAAGCTGAGAGCATTGCAGAAAGCTAAGAAAAGCTAACATTGCTTAACTGTGGAGAATCACAGAAGCGATCCCACATACACCTGCAAGCACACACTGTGCTTCCCCTTCCCATGGGCATAGAGGGCAGTTGTGTCTGGGTACACAGGTGATCAATTATCATCCATTCTGAGTGGTTCTTCCCTGCCACCTTGGGGTCACCCTACTTGGAGAAAGGCTGCCGAACTGTCATCTCTAACAATGAAAGGGATCTTATTTTCTCTGAGTCAGCCTGACTAACAATACCCAAGGTCAGAAGAGATATTTCCTGCAAGACCTTGCAATTTCTCAATAATCCTATTTGGGCTCATTGGATGAAATGGCTGTGGGAAAATGATCTGATCATTATTTTAAACACCGGGGCAATCATAGCAGAAGACGCCTCTGAAACATACTATCTCTGCTTTGGTAACTACTGGAAGGGAGAAAATTGGACAAGGTGCCTCATAGTGCTCTCCGTTCCACCTTTTTTTTTTTTTTTTTGTAAGAGGAGACTCTCATAATATTCTGAAAGCACCCCTGGGATCTCCCCACTACGCTCCCCTCATGCTCTTCTGTTAAGCCTGATTTGGTTGGAGACAAAGGCTGCCCCCATTTTAGAAGCCCCAGCCCTGGGGAAGCCTCTGGCACTCTCCCCACACAGTTGGCTTTGTGTCTAAGACCGCTTTGGAACATGAAAGCACTCTCCAAGACCCTCAGGTCTTAGTGTCCCTGAGAGTGGGGCACAGTGAGTGTGAAGAGCAGTGAAACTGTTTTAGAGGGAACATGGGGACAATGCCAAGGCTTGCCTGGCAGGGAAAGCTGGTGAAGGGCAATGTGACTTTGCACAGACTTGGAGCAAGTCTGGTGGGAATCCACCCCCGCCCCTCTGCCCATCACCACCAGAGCTTTAGAGTTTGACTTCCTGGGTTTGAATTTTGTCTGCTATGCCTCCAAATAGCTGGATATTTTCTGTGCCTCAGTTTCCTTTCCTTAGGGCTTAGAATAGTGCCTGCATATAATAAACTATACATGTTAGTCCCTTCTTCCCCTCCCCTTTTCCCAGCTGCTTCCTCTCCAACCTTAACTCATAGGTGGTTAATTGTCTAGGCTTGGGAGCCAGTCTGCCTGGTTCATATTCTGATTCTGCTAATTACTAGTTGTGTCACTCTCAGTGCGTTGCTTAACCTCTTTGAGCCTTACTTTGCTCCTCTGTAATATAGCTTAATACTAGTACCTCCTCATGGAGTCACTGTGAGGATTTAATTAATTAATTCACAGTAAACACTGAGACCAGAGGTTCTCAAATGGGGGCAGGTTTGCCTCCCAGGGGAAGTTTGGTAATGTCTGCAGACATTCTGGTTGTCACAACTG